AACGTAAGTTAATTAATTACTTACTACTACACGAAGAAGTAAATAAAGTTTACGTTACTTACTACTAAGTAATAGTTCTACCTACTTACTTCTTACTTCGTTATTATAGTGTGTCGTCTCTCTCTCTCTCTCTCTCTCTCTCTCTCTCTCTCAGGTTGCCATTCCTATCGTTCCAACCATCCGGGTCCTCGTGACTTTCACAAAGTTTGAGGATTTTCAACCATCCGAAAAGTTCTCAACCCCACTTTCAAGCCCCGCTTATTTCCAGGACACCAAAGCCAAAGATACTGAGGTATCTGGCACATCATCCGGCTCGTGGGTCTCATGGATGAGAGGAAGTCGAGGCCAATCAAGTGAAGCCCAATCATCTGAAAGCCATTTGAGGGATGATTCGGACCCTTTTCATATACCCTCAGATTACACTTGGGTAGATGCAAATGAGAAGAAGAGGAGAATGAAGGCTAAGAAGGCCAAAAACAAGAAGGGTAAGAAACAGGCGGCACGGAACAATTTGGAGGGGCAACATCTCAGCGAACCAGATGAGTAGTTTTAGAGCATTTGATTGACAAGATCTCAGATTTGATGATTGATTCGTTTAATTGGTAGAAGAGCTTTCATAGCGTGAGGAATGGGTTTAGTATATCTGTTAATGGGAGCTTCTGCCATTGTATGATGTGATATTTGGGAGAGGCCAAATATCTTTTTCCCCCTCCTATTTCTTTTTTGGTTTTCTAATTTAATGTGTATGTTGGATAACCCCACCAAAAGTTGGGTCCTTCTTGTTTATGGGCTTCGTTTGGGTTCTGCTTCCTTTGTGGGGTTTCTCATCTCTCTTTCCCGTGTTTTCAGGCAATGCTTTTGTAATCGTGTTATCTTTTGCTGCTGCTAACACCATTTGTTTGCAAAGAGGTCTTTAAAAATGCTTGGGTTTTGGCCATGGTTATCAAATATGTGCTCTCTCTCTAAAGCCTATGGGTACCAAATGTGCTCTCTCTCTACAACCCATGGCTATCAAATATGTGCTCTCTCTAAAACCCACGGCTATCAAATATGTTCTCTCTAAAACCCGTGGCTATCATGTATGTGCCCTCTCTCTCTCTGTCTCTCCGAAACAAAACATGAATCATTGCTTCATGAGTGTATCTACTTCAGGTGAACACATCACAAACATATACTAAAGATCGAATTTGGGAGAAATTCAAAGGGGGAACAAAAGCATCTGGATTTCATCAAATTGAATATTGAAATTGTTATAATTACACGGGGATGCCTGTATTTGTTTCAGGCTAGTTTCAGTACTCTTTACTTCCATTTACATTTCGTTACAAGCTTTTTCTATTATCTTTCAAAAATTCTTGATCATTCGGCGGCATCCCATAGGTTGGAAGAAAATTTCTTTTCCAGCTCCACAAACTCTGAAGGCTCAATCCCGCTCAATCCCCCAAGACTTGCATAAGCTCAAACCACTGTTAAAAAAAAAGGGCGTAAATAATACTAACACATTCCAAGTTCTCCAGAACGGATGAGAGAGAGAGAGAGTCTAATTTTGGGAAGATAACCTGTCTCAACAAATCAGCAAGCGTGCTTGGAAGTGCCTCGATGTTCTTCAGTATGATGTAATATGGGAAGGGGAATGAATCCAAATACTTTGAAATCTTTGTGCGGCCGCTGGAGAATGACACAGACTGCAGGGAATAAAAGACAGCACATTGGCATCAGGTAATTTCTTTCATAGCAACTTTCCAAAAGGTAAAAAGAATGATAAACGTCTTCAACAAAAATACAAAAAAGGGGAAAAGTATAATCCAATTGACTATGGAAAACCACAATCCACTGGGGTAACACCATCCAATAAAATGGATGGTGATGGCGAGTGGGATCATAACTGGCGTAATGAACTATTCCGGTGGAGCAATCGCTCCATAATAGTCCACTTTTCTTGGGCCAATTACCCAATGGACACTGGAATATCCATAGTCCATTAGATTGTACATCTAGTGCACTTGCCAAAAGAAATAAAAACAGCGAAGTATTTCTCTCTAAACCAAAAAAAGAAAAAAAAAGAAAAATACAATACTTGAACATCCATGATTGACTCTTCTGAATTGTCAAGAAGGAGAAAGGCAATCAGTCGCTTCTTGCTAAGGGCATCCCTCACACGCCGCCTCAAATTTTCCTGTTCCCATACATTGTTTAGATTATCAATGAAATTAGGTTCGTTGCTGCAAGCGTTTCACACCATCTATACCCACATATAAATCCATACTTGTATTTGTTTTCAAAATTTGAAATCCATGCTCGTATTTATTTTCAAAATTCACCTTCTCATGGAAGCGGCCATCTGCAATGATCAATATGAGTTGCTCCAGTGGGTTCCTACCAGAAGGCAAACGAGCATTGACGAAAGAGACATCAAGCAAGTTGTTCAAGAATTTGAGGAGGTCAGCCATGGGTTCATCTGCTATTGTGTTATCTTGCTTGAAAGAGAAATTTGAGATCATCTGTAATCCACCAAGCATGCATGCCATTATAAGAAGAGAAATAGAAACCCACACAAGATATATGAACTAAAAATAACTTTATCATTCGAGTTATTATTTCCTAAATATAAAATAAAAACTAGATTAACATCATTTCTGGTTTCATTCTGTTTACCGATTTTGGTGACCGGTAATTCAAAAAAAAAAAAAAGGGTCTCCTACCTGAGTGCCTGATTCGCTGGTAAAAGGGCGATCAAAATTATGAATAAGCCGTGCATTTCCCTCCCCACCAAAGCTAGCAACTGCCATCTGTCCCACATCTAGCTGTGACATGGCCCGGCAGACTGTAATTAGAGCTTTAAGTGCAAAATGCCCACAGCCACTCTCAGACATACTGCGTGAGTCGTCCACTGCTATAACGACCTGGTAATCTCGTTTATTGGGTTTCATTCGCCTCATCCATATCTTATCCTTCCGGAAATGGCTGGCTATGTATGGGATAACCTGCGAAGTTAAAATTAAATAAGAGTAGTTTTACTATTGAAACAATTGGAGAAAATATACATGTGTGTGTGTGTGTGTTTGTATATATATATATATATATATATATATATATATATATATAGAGAGAGAGAGAGAGAGAGAGAGAGAGAGAGAGAGACGTACTACTCTTACTTCGTTACTCTACTCTACTATACTACTACTACTAGTTACTATCGTATACGTACTTCGACTACGTTACGTACGTAC